GCACATGTCGGCGCTGTGGCCATGAGCCGTGTCGCTCTATGTTACTTACTCGGCATACTACTCCATCAGCAAATTCGCTGCATGTCGACCACATGTTCCATTCTAACATGTCCTGGTAAGCCAACAGTCACCATGTTCACTCAACGATCCCTACAAACCAAAGGCTCTGCTCTTTGACAGCGGGGAACACATCACAAGATGAGGCTGGGCATTACACAGCCGTGTAGGGGAGTGGCGACGCCTTCAGTTCGCTTCGCCGCACTGTTACAAAATGCCTGCCAGCCACGCTCCAGCTCATGACTCTACCTACTGAACTGTGTCTGCTGCCACGTATTGCCAATTAGATGCTATTTGAAACGCTTCTCTTATGCTGACTCGTAAACTTCGCAGTCGTTGATCCAGGCAGGACGATACTTGCGGAACGCAGACTTATCAATTCCAATACATGTCTAATCGTTATTGAAGTAATGACCGCTGCTCTCCACCCGCTAGTGTAGGCTCTTCGATAGCCGTTTCGCGTGGATGTATATTGGTTCATACATCCGGTCAACAGCTCCCATCGTCTACCTCCGCCGCTTACTGCAGGCACCTCGAGGCCGGTAATCATGTTCAATTGACGGCAGTACAATCGAAGAACGGATACAGAACCTGCCTGTTCGTGAGAGAAAGGCTTTCAATAAAAATAACAATCCCACATTATCAGCACGGTTAAAGATACATTCGATGATGGAGAACTAGGAACGTTCAGATCCTCGCCCATGACTCCTAATTCACATAATAACAGGAATGTTGAACAGCGAACGCACTTTCATCGCATAGACATCTCTGAACTACCGCAAATACATTGGTTGACCATGCACTGTACGAAAGTTGATAGCCAACAAGCAGTTTTGTCTACACTTCGCACTAACTCATGCTTTCCCTTCAATTTGAATCCCCCCCTGTAGACTGCTAGACACGCCGTGAGTACTAGAAGCCTAACCATGTCACACAGTCATACCTCATAGACACTGACTTGAATCAGCCAATACTGAATAAACCTGTTGATTTCTATAAGCTTGATAACATGGTACTCTTTTTCACAACTCATCAGCTGTCTCACAGGCCTGTCAGTTCTTATTGGCCTCCTAGACTTCAGGGACATATATACAAGAAACTGTTTCTGATATATAAGAGAGAGACGTCAGCACAGGCCACAGTGAGGACAGGCATACTAAACATCATACGGAACTTATACCGCTACGAACTATGATGCAAATTTACCATGCAAGACGATATAACAACAATACAAAAGGATTTGAACAACTGCAGACCATCTCAGCTCGTGTAAACATGTGTGCATCCAACAGCCCACAGTCAGGATGAATCTAGTCCCATATACCCACCTCGATCCACCCAGACGCACTCAAATCATAGCTATTGGCACTACATGTTTTTCCTGCACATAGTTACTTCAGTTTTATCTTCTGACTCTTCATACCTTATGTACAAATCTCTCTGCCTGCAGTAACCTCGGCCGAAGGTTTTTAGGCCTTGTAGTGACTGCGGTACGCGTCTTATGATGGGTGGTATTTCTTGGCGTGCCTCTTCTTACCATAAGAAGCTTCTATACAACTTTACTTCCACAATCGTTGATGCCCATAACTTCCTCAGCTCGTCGCCATTTACCCACCTCATTTGCACAACCCTTGAGACCCCTTAGCCCTGTGCACATGTGTGAACGCCATAGCGAAATACACACTCAGTGACCCACTGCTCTCCCCCTTCGCTGTCCCTGCTTCAACTCAGTCAAAATCTGGGTCGTTCCCTCAGGAGATTCAAGCTAAGTTTCCCTTGTTACCTCCTCACACTAACAGCAGCCTCCCAAACAGTCCTGTCACTGCCTTCTTCCTGTCACCGTCTTCCCACCTTTTCTGCTGGCATGCTCAGTATCTACTCCTCCTTCACAGCTGCACGTCGCAGCTGTGTTCTCACTCCTCAACACACTGCGCTACGTAGAGCTTCCATAGCTAGAAGCACGTAGGACACTTCCAGAGGCCGGATCAGCCCTGTACTAGACGGCAAACTACCAAACATTGTCCTCAATCCTAAGCCTCTCATTTGTGTGTCCACGAACTCTTTCTTTTGTCCACTCAGTCCCCCTCAAGCGTGAACCCGTCAGCAAGACGACTGGTTCTTCGGGTGCCCTAGCCGCTACGCCGAATGGGACTACATTACTGCATCCCTTGTTATCCTAGAGTCTGGTGCAGTCCTCCGCTGTCTGCATTGCCTAGCCCCTCGACTCACCACGCACCCCCTCCACCACTTTCCACCTGGGCACATAGAATACCGCACTCCACCGGTCCATCCTCATACCCTCAACTCCCCCATGAGACAGTCATACTAGTTAAATATGCGCATCCGAGGAAGCTAGTGGAAATTGGCGACCACAGCACACTATCAAGCAACGGTAACAATGGAGCCAGCCGTGCCTATCAGCAGAACGCTCCTGACCCCAGCACCCACCATGCAAGACAATTATTAAATACAGCGCCCACCAAGGTTTAACAAGAAAAACCTCGGAGCGTCAGCGCGACCGAACGAAACGGAGTCGAAAATATAGATGCGAAGAGGATCTCTCCTGGCTGAAACACCTGCTGTGCATGCACACCTCCTAGTCCTCTTGATCCCCCCTAACCTACACCCCACAGCCAGACTCGGATACAATCAGGACATCCCGGACCAACCACAACCCAGCTACACCTGCCCATCCCGTCTACTCCGCAGCGGAGAGGCTGTAACTAGACTATCATCCTCAGCCCGACACCTAACCCCTCAGCCTAGCAAAGGAGTAACACGGTCTCTCGGAGGTCTGATAACGTCAAAGACGGAAATCACAGTTCGCTGTATATGGTTACTGCAAGCCCATCGTTACCACGTCGCGTGCCAACAGCAGCGACTATCATTTCTCCCTTAAAAGCTTTTAGTTCTGAACCTCGCATACTTTTCAGTTGTCATTCAAATACAGAATAAATTCTTTGGCAGTTCTTGATCTAAAAACCATAAATGTTCAGGCCGGGAAATCACCTACTCTGCTTCTTACGACACATACAATTGTGCTCCCTCTCACACTAGTTGGCGTCTGCTTTTACAAACGCGCCATCCGCTCTATGTGACACCTCTCAAAGACAAGACCATTCAATAAATGATGCCCTACCCCTTTCCAAAATAAGCCAGCACGAGAATACTCCGTGTCATCGAAATACGGTTCGATCCGGTGCGGTACCTATCAAATCCAATAGTCGTCGTGTTAGTTACTTTGAGCCCAGATCAATTCGTACAATTTGATATAAGAATATCATAATGCACCAGTTTTGAAAGCTGCACGTGAGTATCATTCCCAAATCACTTTGATCCGAAGTGCATTTGCGATTGGTTTGTTCACACATTTCCCAGTATCAGCTGGAGCTGCTAAGCCTATAAATAACTGATGCCACGGACTTTATTGTCCGAAACATGAGCCCTGTTCCACGGTGTCGATCTTAGATGATCTCAGACAGAGGCCCACTGGCCCAGTGTGTTTGTAAGTACACTGATTCGCAATAGTTCTTTGTAGCTCTCCTTGTAAAACAAGAGCAAACACGACTAGCGAAAGCTACAGCAGCGAGCGCTTTCACTAGCGAGAAGCAACGTACATGCGGGGACAAGAAGTGAAGCACAGCTCAGAGAGGCTGTGTGGTCAGGGCCGAGAACGACAAGACAGGAAAGGGAATACTCCAGCGTCAATAATTGTTGCAGAGCGTCGTTCTGTTTCATCAGCACTCTGAAATATTCCCCGATTCTTAAATATCGAGTACAGGAAACACCCGACAACGTCTGAGGACAAGTGTGGAATTGCCCATCGGTTTAGTCGCTCCCACTGATTCTGGCGGCTACCTGGGTTAGGTCATTCTTTGCATCGCGTCCGCAATGGGGCTTTAAGACATCATGGGAATTTCAGCCTCCACGCAGCGTCCCATCACCGTGGACACATCTCTAATTTTACCAGAGTCAGTCCCTTGCGAGCACGCGTTCGGAATGCTCCATACCTCGTCGCCCTATGCGGCACCTCAGCTATCTCTCTGCTCTTCGCTGTCCACACGCTCTTTCTCGTCGAGTAACTCTTTGAAGGTCCGCACAGCACCCTTGTACAAGATGCTCTCTAGAATTGTTGGTGCTTTAAAGCCACCCAGAACCTTCCCACGCATCGAGACCCACAACAACAGTAACGTCAGTTGCATATAGTTATGCGGCCAGCCTCACGGAGAACACTTCAGGCACTGCGTCCGTATACCTCGATGCCTGCCTGATCGGGGACTTGGTGTTTGATCTCTGCACAAGTATCTCTTAATGGAGGCATGTTGACCGCTTGATTTATCATAGGTCTGCCAGAGAGTAGACAGAAAAGATGGCGACGAGATCCGGATGCAGGGACAAGCACCCAGTTCACCTTGTAGCTAACTCCCGACCCTTCAGCCCTAACCCTGCTCAGCCACTGGTTGAGCATATCAGCCGCCTCCTTTAAATGTTGGATTGTGAGCTTGACCTGATGTGACATGCAACTGGAGTCGATGCGATGCGGCAGCAGGAGCCGAACAACTAACAGCGGGTCTGCTTTGTTCCTGCCACGAGCGCTCACATGACTTGTTCGTTACTCAGCAGTAGTCTGTATACGATTTGAATGAGACCAAATGAGACCGGGCGGCTGTCATTCCCGAAGTTCTCCATCAGAGAAGAGCTCTGAGCAGAAGTTCTCCCTCCGCTCCTGTCTACTCCCTCGATATAGACTTTCTAATGACTGCCTCTCCACGACTTCCCTGACGCAGCTTCACCAGCAGAAAACTTAACCCTAAACAGCCAAGAGACAAACGATCTATTGAACAGCTTCAAGCCGATCTCAATAAGACTCTTGTCAGCGGCACATACTGAGCCTATTAAGAAGTCGCACCGAGTTTTGTTTCCCACCAGGTCCATCACTCACAATGAATATTGTCACGAAAGGATCCACTGAACCGTCGGACGGTAAAGAGCCTTCGAGTCTTCTGTTATTTGAGAGGGACAAGCTAACCGGAAACAAGAACTTTGTGTCCCCTGACCGTAGATCGGACCTTCATCAAAAACACCCAACGTCCAGACGTAACCAACCAGTAACTTTATTCTGACTGCCAACACACCATGCAGCTCTCACGACTTGGATGATGACTAATCCACCTCCAGTGTGGCACAACACGACAGCTCACTGTGCAGTGATCTTCAATCGTTGTGCTCGCTCTCAAAGAGCCCACCTCCAAAAATCAGGTGAGTCATAAGAACACACACACTTAGTGTGGATACAAAGAAAACTCCCTACCCTCTATCTCTTTACTGAAGAAAGGTATGTTGTGTGTCTGTGTGTGTTTCACCTGCATGTCCTTCTAGCCCAGTTAACAGTTTCTTTCATTCCCACCTGGGAGCTGTCCACTACAACACAGTCTGCTCTGCAGGTGTCAGCTCCACTGAGATAGATGAAGCTGATAATTAACACCAGGATCTGTTTCCACATGCTGTCTGCATACGAAGTTTAACTAAATGAACAGAGTTTACACAGTTTTATAACAGAGACGCTAAAGCTCCAGACTCACAGGGTCCAACAGAAAGCCAGATATTAAATACACAAACACACACCAAAGAAAAATGATTAGCAGGAAATAAAACCTCACATGTAATAGAATCACATGAATAAATATATGTTTGTGATATATATAATTGTATTTTAAGAACAGTTTTAAACAAAGCCAATGATTCTGCAAATGTTACCTTGTCTGTGTCGTTCCAAAAGCTCATTCACCTTTTAGATTTAAGCTGTTTGATGTTTACCAGTTAAGTTCCCAGTGGCTTCTTAGTTACGTTGTTATTCTGTAAATCCAGCTATGAAGCTAAAACTCCACTCCTGCTTCCAAGTCTTGCTGTTTGGGTCCAATCCTGCTAATAATTTTTATAATCAGTACCTAAAGCTGTGAAAAAAATGTGTGTTTTATCTAAAAACAGGATAAATATAGTGTTACAATGAATCATCTGTATACCCATATTATTAAACATTAGGCTTTATCTAATATAGAAATGTCAACAGACATCTTTACAGTAATCAAGAAAACTGTTTATTTATTTATTTTTTAAACTCAGCCTTTAAAATAATTTAAAATGTATTTTAAATTCATTGCTTTCAGTTTACTGTCAGATGGGGCTGAATAGCTGGTGTCTTGCTCCACCCAGCTGATGTGGAGTGTAGCAGAGCTATTTGTGCGCTGCTTGGGTGAAGTCAACTAAAACTTGAATACTCCTGCCAAAAGTCTTTATCAGCGAGAAAGCCGACAAACTACTAGGCTGATAATTATGAAAGCCTTAATTATGAGCTGGGCCACAGACTAACGTGTTGGAGTCCCACAATTTAACAGAAGGCAGAAATCAGCAAACTGCTGCCTCACTTTGTTCACTGTGGATTTTATTCCACGGTCCGCTCGTCTGCAGGAACAAACACGTGGTCTGAGCAAACAGGCAGCGTCTGAAGCATTTCCCTGCATCTCTCAGATAATAAGGATGTTATCATCTGTCAACATCCTCATGCTCTGCTTTAAGCCATCAACTCCAGCAGTGGAGAGTTTTTAATAGAGTTAGAACCAACATGGTTTATATTGGAGAGGGTTCTTTGTAGCCCCCAGGACCCTGTCATTGATATTGTAGCACCTTAAACACTGTAAGCAACAACAGAGGGGGAAATGCTCAGCCACCAGGCAAAGGTATCAGCACCTCACACAGCAGCTACAGACCAACTCTGTGTGCATTGTTGTGGAAATTTTAACAATAAAGAACATAAATTTAAACTATGCATGTAGACATTTCACTACTAGCCTGTTGAACTTCTTTAGTTAGATATACAGGTAACTACCAAAGAAATCCCAATCTGAATTTGTGGAATAGTATTTTTAACAACGAGATTCCCTTTGAGTTTTTATCTTTGTACATTGTGGATAGGATGTGTTTTACTGGAATCTGAAGTAAGACAATGAAAAGATAAAGACTGACACGTAATTCAAATACAAACATACTTAATTTGAAATTTGATATACCTTTATTAGTCCCACAAGGGGAAATTTCATAAGGCTGCCGACCTATTGCACGCAATGGCGGCGCCATCTTACCTTCCGACCATACATACATTACACAAAACATCACATGGGGAAGACAGGTCAGAGAGGTATAACAATGGAAAATGCACCACATGAGGAAAGATAAGGAGAAAAAAATAACTCCTCCCAGACTGAGCTCCAACAGGGAGATCAGTTTGAGAACAGAAAAAACATCTCTGCACAAAGAAAAACTCTTAATACACCAAAGAAACACATGACAAGCAACAGGGGTGAGTAAAGGGTGAGAGACAGCCGATTTAGACAGCACATCCGGGCCTGCAGCCTGTGCGCTGGTCTCCTTGATCCACCGTCAGCATCGGAAGGGAATAAGCATCGAAGGCGTTTGGAGAGGGAGGGGGGATGAGTGTGTGCATATCAGTGTATATGTGTGTGTGTGTGTGTCCAGAGTTCAGCTGAGACTGTGTCCTTCGCCCTATCAGGCTAAGTAAACAGTCTTCCAGCCAACCCAGGTGGGCTTGCATGGAGTGGGTTGGTTTTCTTTAGTTCTCAGTTATCTTAGCTCTCGCTCTCTTAGTGTTTAGCCCAGTGTGTGTTTAGTCTCTGTGTTTGTTCATCCTTTGTGTCTCCTTGTCAAGTCCATGTCTCCATGCCAGTCTCCTGTTTCCTTTCTATTTCGATAGTCCCTTTCCTGTGTGCGGAGTATTCTGCTTCGCTTCCTTTGCCTCGTTATGTCTGATTTGTCCCATCGATGTTCCCACCTGTCCCCCTTCCTCTCGTTGTCCTGCCTGTGTCTTCCTCTGTTTCTTGTTTGGTTCTTCTGTGTGTCTCCTGTTGAATTTCTCCACATTCCAGGTTCCATGTTTCTCCTCACTTGTCTTTACAGTTTGTGTTTCACCGTCTCAGATTTGTATGTTTCATGTTTCGAGTCCCAGGCATTTTGTTCCTTTTGTATTATTTTTGCAGCTTTTCCCAGTTTAGGTTTTTCTTATTTTAAGTTCTTGTCATGCTCTGCCTTTGTATGCATTTTGTTCCCCACTGTAAATAAAACTCTCTCACAGTTACTCACTCATCAGTGCCTGCACATGTCTGCGCCAGCACCCATGACAAAAGTAAAGAGAAAACAAAAAAGATTTTTGTAGACCAGTGAACCAGGCCCTGATTAATAATAAATTAAAAGCGGGCTGTAGTTTTAAACCCTCTGTAGTTTTAGTGTTAAATAAAAAAATAATAAATCAATTTTGATAACAGATATAATCAAAGTTGGATTAGGTAACCCTGACCCTCCCTTAGTTGCTTTAGGCTGAGGCTGCTGGGGGACTTCCCATGATGCACTGTGTTTTATCTCCCTTCACAGAGCAGGGGTGGGCAACTCCAGCCCTCGAGGGCCGGTGTCCTGCAGGTTTTAGATGTATCCTTGATCCAACACAGCTGATTCACCTGGTAGTGAACAAATCATTTGATTCAGGTTTACTGACCCAGGGTGATATCTAAAACCTGCAGGAGGCCTGGAGTTGGACACCCCTGCTGGAGGATCTTTACCTCATAATGTAAAGCAGGGGTTCCCAATCCCAGTCCACGAGGGCCGGTGTCCCTGCAGGTTTTAGATGTGTCCTTGATCCATCACAGCTGATTTAAATTAATAAATTACCTGCTTAACATGTCTTGAAGTTCTCCAGAGGCCTAATAATGAACTAATCATGTGATTCAGGTGTGTTGACCCAGGGTGAGAGCTAAAACCTGCAGGGACACCGGCCCTCGCGGACTGGGATTGGGGACCCCTGATGTAAAGCATTTTGACGTGAATGCTGGTTTGACCTTAAATGAACCTGAATTGAATTGGCAGCACCTGCACTGTTGTCTCACAGCAAGAAGGTCCTTAGTTTGAGTCCACCATCAGCCCCCCGGACCTTGATTTGTATGAGTGGAAGAGAATGGATGGATGACTTGAAGTAATGCTGTCTGTACAGTTAATGTTGTGCTTTGTTGCCGATTCCTTTCAGTTCCTGAAGTGGGGGCAGATTCAGGGGTCGAGTCTGTCCTGCTGCCCTTAATAACCAAAGTTAAGCTGCCCGATGATGTCACAGTGACGTGGACAGACAGAAAAGACAGGAAGGTCCACATTTATCAGGACGGCTCTGACCAGCCTGAAGTGCAGAATCAGGTTTACAGAGACCGAACGAAGATGAATGAAGACCTGCTGAAAACTGGAGACCTCAGTCTGACCCTGAAACACCCCACAGACTGGGACACAGACACCTACACCTGCACCGTCTACAACAGAAGGGGAAAAGTCCTCCTGAAGAAACAAGTGAAGCTCTATATCAGAGGTTAGTGCTGTAGAATGAGTGGAAACATGGACCAAATAACAAAAATGATACTTATGAAAAAGGTTTTAAGACATTTCTGGAACCTTTCCATATTTAAAAAAAAAAAGCAAAACTCAAACTAAAACAAGATATGATAAGATTTTATTTTTCCCATATTGGGGCGGGGGGGGGGGGGGGGGGGGGATTTGTGCATTACTACAGCTCAGGTACCGTTAGCAAAAGAATACAAAGAGTATACCAGAATATAAAGTCAAGAAATACAAAATAAATAGATAATACAGTATATACAATGGTGGCTAAGGTTCTATTTACATGCATACCCAGAGTGTGTTATATAGAAGGTTGTGGAAATATATAAACTCTGGCAAAACCCAAACTGTCAAAAAAGAAATTAGTTTTCAGGTCAGACACTCAGAAAGAAAAACACATCACACTGCATCAACACGTGAATGACATATAAAATGTTCAGTCTTAGGTCTTTATTTAAGACGGGGTTGGGTACACAGGTGATCAGTCTGGTGAAGCCAGGCTCCTGGACTACAAAGCAAGTTCAAGATATCGATGCAGCAGGTAAAATAAGTAATTGAACATGTTTTCTAAGTAAAGATGTTTCTAAAGGTGTTGTTGATATGAAATTCTCACCAGATGTCAGTAAAAACTAAACTAAAGTGGATGTCCATGAATTAAGATATGGATAAATAAATAAAATAGAATGACACAGGTAAAACGTTTTGAACACATTTACTGAAATTTATTTCTCCATACAAAATGAATACCTCCTCCTTTAATACAAAGGCCTTTGTTGGTGATGACAGCTTCAAAACACCTCCTGTACGGAGAAACTAGTCACATACATTACTCAGCTGTAATTTTGGTTCAATCTTTCACATAAACAGTCTTCTAATCCTGAAGCTTCTTGTTGTGTTTTCTATGAACTCTGACCTTTAGTTTTTTCATAGATTTTCATTTGGATTCAGGTCATGTGATTGGCTGGACAATTCTAGCAGCTTTATAATTTGGGATCATTATCTTCTCATTATCTTCATCATCCTGTTAGATGAAGAGAATGAATCATGATTGTGGATAAGTGTATCTGATTTTACAAAGGAAGAGAAAAATGTAAATACATTTT